CAATGTCTTATGATTCATGCCGTCCAAATTCCGGTTTATAACCGATCAGACCCATCTTTATGGTTTATTATGTGTGATGTGTGAAAGTACCTTTGCTCTTGCCACCCCCAAACCTATCACAGAATCCATTACTAAATATAATTATGTAGTTGCTCATCTTCCTCCAGATATGCATCAATAGTAACGGGATTTACTTATGAAACTAGATCCTATTGATCCATATACAAAGCTTAAAACTGAGTTAATAAATCGTTCAGGAGAATCTTCTCAGCAAGAAATTCTGCCAATTATTATCTGGAGAGAAGAATTAGGCTCTCGAAAACCTTCCGATTTGCTTAGAAATATGAATACGTCGAGCAGCAGAATCTTTAAATGTTCCTGATAACTTAATGTTAGAATTATTCCTTCAACGTTTGCCTTCGATCATTCAGCGTTCAGTCTATTTTTGGCAGCGGTTTCCAATTTAACTGTAGATAAAGCTGCAGAAATTGCCGACAGAATTTTAGAAGTAAATCCAACCCCAGGGACTTGTGCCGTTTCTCGCACAGTCGATCAGTCTCTTGAGGATTAAATTATTTAAACAAATAGAAAAATTAAACAAACGTATTGATCGCATTTCTCTTTCTCGTGGTCGCTCGCCAAATCGCGGAGATCGCAATAAGGAAAGAAGCAATTCCAAAAGGAGAGATTATTCTGTTGCTGCTGGTCCATTTGCCAATAGACGTTTTGGGAAAAATTGCAGTAGAGATGACAAATGTACCAAAACCTTTGTTCATGGCAGGGAAACGAAACCAGCAAAGAATAGAGGCGACTTATTCTTTGCCTCAAGTTTCACGTCGCCTGTTCGTTCGTAACTGGTAGAACAAACGTTTCATTCTTGGTCGATACCTGCTCTGACGTGTCCTTACTTCCAGCAAATAATTCTCAAAAACGGAATTCGTCTTCCTAACAAACACTTTTCGCTGCTAAATTCTTCTAACTATTCATGTTTATGGTCAAAAAACACTTTCTTTGGATTTCAAATTAAGACGACAGTTTACATGGACTTTTCTTATAGCAAATGTTAGTACACCCATTCTTGGAGCAGATTTTCTCCATTTCTTTGAATTGGTCCCTGATCTCAGAAACAAATGTCTCAAAGATTTAAAAAACCGCATTTTAAAACCGTCGGTTGCGTGAAAAATGCAAGCATTTTATTCAGTAAAAACTGTATTTAATGATACACCATATCACAAAATTTTAAAAGAATTTCCTTCAGTTACTAGATTACCAGATCCTACGACCAACCTAATTAACCTGTTAAACACAACACAGTTCATCTCATCATAACTAAAGGTCCACCTGTGGTTGTCTCAAAACCTCGTCGGTTAGCTCCAGATCGCTTAAAATAGCAAAACAAGAATTTCCAAACTATGATGCAATTGGGGCATTTGAGACCTTCGAGCAGCAATTATGCATCCCCACTTCACATGGTTCCAAAAAAGGGAAGTCTGGAATGGAACCTGTAGGAGATTATCGAGCATTGAACGCTCAAACAATAAAAGACAAATACCCTATTCCATGTTTTAGCCGATTTACTGCTGCATTGCACGGTACTAAAATTTTTAGTCATGTCGACCTGATTAAGGCATACCATCAAATACCGATTAACCCAGCCGACATCCACAAAACCGCCATATGCACACCATTCGGTTTTTCGAAAGTACCCGTATGCAATTCGGCTTATGCAATGCATCCGCGACTTTTCAACGTTTTATAGATGAAGTCACGCGGGATTTAGAAGGTGTTTACGCTTTCGTCGATGACTTGCTCATAGCCTCTAAAGATTCTGAGGAACATTGCAGGCATTTGAAAGCTTTATTTTCCAAACTTCAGGAATATGGACTTTGCATAAATGTTTCAAAATGCACCTTTGGTCAAACGTCTATTGATTTCTTAGGTTTTCACCTTAGTGAAAACGGAATTGAACCTCTTCCTGACAAAGTCAAATGTATTTTAGAATTTCCTCAACCTACCACTCTCACTCAGCTTCGCCGATTTTTAGGCATGTTTAACTTTTATAGATGTTTCATACCTAAAGCAGCACATATTCTTTCTCCTTTAATAAAATTGTTAGAAGGCTATATGAATAAAAAGAAATCTCGTTCTCGTGTTCAGGATTCATCCCCACAATTAAATTGGAACGAGAATGCTGAACAAGCCTTTATTGCTGCCAAAAATGCCATTGCTCAGGCTACCCTTTTGAGACACCCTATTCCCGGAGCCCAGCTAAGCATCTGGGTAGATGCCTCAGACGTCGCAATAGGCGGCACACTTATGCAGTTGTCTCAACAAACATGGGAACCTATAGCATTTTTCTCTATGAAACTCAGTAAAAGTCAACAGAAATGGTCCGCGTACGATAGGGAATTATTTTCTATTTATTCTGCAATTAAGAAATTCCGACACATGTTAGAGGGCAGAAATTTTATAATTTATACGGATCAAAAACCGTTAATATACGCTTTTAAACAGAACCCTCATAAATGTTCACCTCGACAATTGCGCCATTTAGATTTTATTTCTCAGTACTCTACTGATATTAGGCATGTGCAAGGTTCAAAAAACGTCGTTGCTGACGCTCTTTCAAGAATCGAAATTGATTCCATAACAAAATCTCCATTTTTGGATTTTAAAAAATTTTCGGAAGCTCAACGGCATGATCCGGAGGTACAAGACCTTCTCAAAAACAACACATCATCTTTGAAACTGGAATTTAAAACCGTGCCAAATATTCTGATGGTAATATTCTTTGTGACATATCAACAGACATTCCTCATCCATTTGTTCCGAATTCCTTTCGCGGACTCATCTTTAATCATCTGCATAATCTGTCACATCCAGGAATTGCAGCTACTACGAAGCTTATTTGTTCTCGTTATGTATGGCCCCGATATGAAACGTCATATCAAAAATTGGGTGAAAATCCTGTGAATCTTGCCAAAAATCGAAAATTACTAGGCATACTAAAGCACCACTGGGCACATTCTCTCTTTCCTGATGCACGTTTTTCAGAAATCCATATGGATATCGTCGGACCGTTACCTCCATCAGAAGGCAACGTGTACCTTTTGACTCTAATAGATAGATTCTCCAGATGGCCTGAAGCCATTCCCATCCCGGATATGAAAACGGAAACCATTTGCAGAGCCATCTTCAACTGTTGGATATCTCGTTTTGGCTGCCCATCGATCATAACAACAGACCAAGGTTCTCAAATGAGATCCGCAACTTTTTTGCAGAATTTCACGCGCATTTTGGGTACGAACAGAATCACAACAACAGCCTATCATCCAATGTCCAACGGCATTGTTGAACGATTTCATCGACATTCTAAAATCTTCTCTCAAGGCTCACGAGACCAATAACTGGACTGAAACACTACCAGTTGTTATGCTTGGTATTCGGACAGCCGTAAAGGAAGATCTACAGTCATCTTGTGCTGAACTGGTGTACGGCACAACTCTCAAGCTGCCTAGTGATATGATAACGTCATCTAAGATATCTCCGTATGACACACAATTTATCACGAATCTTCGGCATAGAATGCAACAGTTGAATCCAATAGCAACATCTGCACATTGCCAAGAAAAATGTTACGTAAGTGCTACCTTAAAGTCGTGTACGCATGTATACTTACGTGTCGATCGAAGAGTAAAGCCACCTCTGTGCCAACCATATACAGGTTCCGCATAAAGTCCTTTCTAGAACGGACAAAACTTTCACAATTGATGTTAACGGTCTGAAATCTACTGTGTCTATAGACCGTGTGAAACCAGCCTATTTGCTTTCGGACTCTAATTTGCCTGAACTGAAAACAAATAAAGACTTAAAGACAGTTCAGCAGAATAAATCTGCAAACGAACTCTCTAAGACACAAACTGTCACCAGATCGGGAAGACATGTTCACTTCCCTAAGAAACTTGCTTCTTACATAACAATTTAAAACACTTTTTTAAAATTAATATCTTAACATATTTTCTTGTTATTTCATGTTTATTATATGTGTGTCAATACCTTGTTATATATTGAATTGCATTTTGATCTTTTCTAATTTTATATTCTAATTTTGTAATCATAAAAAAAATACCCGACAGCACGGATACTCTGAGATAATTTCATAACCTATGTCGTTCCTTTGAATAGCCATTAAAGGAACTGGGGGGAAACTCTGTGGTGATGGCGATAAGGAGCGCGCCTTGCGCCCTCCGATAAGTGTGGCAACCCTAGAGGAGAAGTTTCTTACGAGTAGCGAGCAGAGCGAAACAAGCAGGCTGTCGGGGAGTATGCGCGATGTTCCTAAATAAAGTTTAATTTTTATTGTGCACTATGTCTTGTTAATATTTATATTAATGCAGTAAGAACATAATCTGTGATATGGAATTTGAGGATTGGTGGTAAAAACATAACCGGAAATCTCCATAGATCTAAAAGGTATCAAAATTTACAAAAAAAAAGCTTAATATTTATTTGTTTACTTTATTAAACATTTCTTTCAATGTAAGTTGTTTAAGTTGCTTCGTTTCTTGTGCTAATACTTTCTCTTTCATAATATAAACAGACATAATTTCTTGTTCAGTTACTCAGGAACTTCAGAAAGTTCCACTGTTCAAGTACTGTAATTGCTGTGTCGAGAATACTGACTAATTTGTCAATCAAAATTTTTTCAATTTCGCTTTGTCTCTGTCACTTTCTTCACTATCGGAAGCGCACATGGGTAAACGCTTTACGAGCATGCGTAGCGGATGCACATATTAAACGTGTATGAGTAAACACATCACATGCATGTGCAAGTTTGTGGTTTTGAGGTCCGGATTATAGATCATTCCAGATAATGAACGTCCGGATTACAGACTTTGTACTGTATATAAAATATCTACAAAATAAATTTTAGCTTAGCTTTTTGGTGAAAAGTTTTTTAGTTATCTCAAAATTTACATATACAAGATTATTAAACATACCTTGTCAGAATACGCAAGAGAATTTTTTAATGATTGTTCACGAAGAAGGCATCGCACATTGTCTAAAGCTCGAGTGAGAGCTTTTGCTAACGGCCTCATGCTAGCACTTTCGAGTTCTCTATGAATGATGTTGGAACCAGCTGCAAGACACTAAAATAAAAAATAAACTGCTTAATAAAATGAACAAAATAATGTAATAAACAGAAAGATAGATTCTTCAGTTATTTTTAGAATAAATTTATCTGGCCTACACCAAAAAAGAACTAATGTCTTGATTTCTTTCAAGTCAACTGAGATCCCCTATTAATGCAAATATTTACACTAATGAGTAAAATGATTAAAAAAACAGGGGGTGGGGACAATAGAAGGAAAAAGAAAAGAAAAAGAAAGAAAGGGCGGGGATGTGAGGATTAACATTTTAGCATTACACAAAAGGGTTTATTGAGACTTTTTATGCTTTTATTTAGCTTGAAGTTTATCTATCTGCTCTTTGATTCACTGCTGCTAATACAACTTTGTTACTTTTAATTTATTATTAAACATCCCTTTCTTCACACTTACGCCACATAAAATTCAATAGCAAAATCAAAGAATTCTTGATACAATATTAAGTGTTATATACACTTTTTATCCCAGAAAGGTTATTATTCTTAAACCTCACATTTATGTCAAATCACTTTTGTTGTTTGTTTCTCTTTTTAAATAACTAGCTGCTGGCCAGTCACCTGAAGTAGCTACTATAAAAAAGAAGAAAATTTATAAATAATGCTTTTAATAAATTCAGCTAGTGTAATTTCACTTGGCAGCTGGTAATTAATATAACACATGAAGAAGTGTTTATTTCTTTTAATCTGCTTAGTTTGTTAACCAACGGGAAGATTTAATTTAAAAGAAAAATTCAATATCTTAAGGTTGGCTAAATGACAATAAATTGGCACATAGAAGTTAAAAATACTTTACACTGGATATTACAGCATTATTTCTTTAAAAATAACATATGACAATAGCAGCATTTGGTGGCAACATCTGAAAAGCGATAAGGACAAAAAAAGTTTAAAACTAATGAGCTAAAAAAGTTTAAAAAAAAAAAAAAAAAAAAAAAAAAAAAAAAAAAAAAAAAAAAACTGATGTGAAATGGTACGCATTTAGTGATACTGAAATTATTGCAGCAGAAATTGAAATTTGAACTATTATTTAACAAGGTTAAATTTTAAATTATATCTACTGATGAAGGGTACAATGAATGCCTGTCAGACATCTGTTATCTGGTAACCCGCTTAGATGCACAATATATGGCAACAACCAAATATGTATTATGGTTACCTGGCAAATTAAATTTTTACACGTGTGTATGTGCACATGCGGAAGGGGGGTGGGCAAAAGTTTTTTGATTTTATTGTTTTAAAATATAAAGAAAAATGTTTTTCAATTATAAACAGCAAAAATAACAACAACAAAATTTTCTCTCCAGCCAAATTTGTTGATTTTAACAAAAGGAACAAACGATTTTGAAGTTATATTTCTTTTTTGATGATTTAAGTCAATTTTAAAATTGGTAAATTATGGTGTAAAAATAGCAACTATTTAGCATTTCTTTATCAAAATTCTGTTACAAATATTTTCATAAAAGTGTACCTGCTTCTGAAAACAAGTATATATGCTGCTAGCTAATAAAGAATAATATTTCTCAGCTATTTTTAGACAAATTAGGATAATTAGTTGCATCTGTTCTCTAACAGCTAAATGATTTTTTTTTTTTCTATAATTTGCTCAGATATTTTTAATGTCTGAATTATATTTATTATTATTTTATCTCTGAATTATATTTATTATTATTTTTATCTCTGAATTAACTCATCATCTAGTTGCCCATCTATTGTATTTAAAATATAGACTGCTACTTAAGCAATCCCAAAAGGATTTATGGGTGTTATTACAATGTTTTAATTTTCCTCTTCATTATTTTGAGATTTTTAATTCCATTAATAATGAGCGTGCATTTTTTCCGACAGTTTTGAATAGAATTTTTTTCTCATTAATAAGCATAAAAAGAGCTACTACATTTGTAAAGACCTTATTTTGTACTAATCAATTATTTTTATTTTAAGAAACTCCTTTCCCTTCTCATTCCAGTTTCCTGCCAGCTACTGATCATGGAGAAGATAATTAGACAAATTAAATCAATTAAACATATGACAACTTTAGATCTTACCTCTGCCTATTTTCAGATTAGTATGAAGCCAGAGGATTTTAAAAAAACTGCATTTATTACTAAATCTGGCAAATATGCATTTTTATGCATTCCATTAAGTTTATGCTATTTTCCAAAGGGCAATGGACATTATTCTTCGACCACTCCTCATAAAATCAACATTTACTTATTTAGATAACATTATAGTTACCAGTGATTTGATGGAAGTCTTTACACTTTTACAACATACTGGTTTGACTGAACCCCAACAAGTGTAATTTCATGACAAAAGAACTCAAATTTTTAGGTCATAAAATTTCCACCAGAGGTATCAAAACTGAAGATTCAAAAATTATCAAAATTAAAAATTACCCTCCGCCCAATACTAGGAAAAACCTTGCTTCATTTTGGAGATATGTCCTTTTTTTAAACTTTCACACATATAGCTGAACCTCTCTTAAAAACTGAAAAGAAAAAAAAAGCTGAATTCTCTTGGTTGGCAGAAGCCAATATGGTATTTGAACAATTAATTAAAGACAGAATTAATTGCAGTCCCAGTACTAAAGGTCCCTGACCCCAGAGGGTCAGTTTGAAATATCTGCAGATTCGTCAGACTTTGCCATATGAGCTGTGTTACCTCAAGTGGGGCAACCGGTAGATTTTAGTAAGACATTGAACCCTACCCAGAAAAACTATATGGCTACTGAGCAAGAAACACTAGCTGTATTACTAGCCAAACAAAAATTTCAAGTATATTTAGGAAAATGGTTCATAACGGTGTACACCTACCACGCGGCCATCCTTAGGCTTTACCCAGGGGGGGAAAAATCTATCATTACAGGATTGATAAGATTTGCCCTTAAGCTGCAAGAATATAATTTAGTATTTAAATATTTATTGGCTAAAGATAATGTGGTCGCATATGCTCTTTCTCACATTAAATTAGATGAACAGAACCATGTTTCAGCATTATCATGGTTTTACAAGCCAATTAAAATAAAATGTACCTAAGGGGGTTTGCAGTACACTGTGTCACACATAGACAACATTTAGTTGCTAAAAATCTGAGTGGCAGATTGCATCAATCTCTCCATTTTGTCCTAAATATAATAAACAAAATTTGGAGAAAAGCATTCAATTCTAGGTTATTTGGACAGTTGTATTCAGAAAATTATGAGAACTTTCATCAAGTGTTCTTTCACACTTTGCTGGTCTTACGTTTGACATTTTTTTTTTTTTTTTTTTAAACTTTTTGAGACTGTTTTAGAGTTTTGGTATGCCAAAGATAACATTCAAAAAATTTAATCAAACGGAAATCAAATGTTCTTTATTTAACAGATTTATTAACTAAATTCAATGTAGTTAACTTGTAGCTGCAAGGTTACAATATAATTTAATAAAATTCAATTCCTTCACTCTAGCTTTTCCTACCAAAACTAACTTAATGATGCAAAACACTGGATAGTGGGAGTTCTCCCAGTTTGTCACAGACAAACTGCAAGGATAATGTCTTGGCTTGCATTCAATGTTTAAATGCTCTTCACATAGACTTTAAAACCAGGTTTGAGGCATTTTCATTATGGAAATACCACAGTGAATTATCAGCCCATATGGTGACTTCTAAGAATTAGATGTCATATTACAACCAACTGAAGTAAGCATTAATGGCTCAGAGAGATGTACTTATTTATCCTGTATTATGGAATACCGCAAAAAAGTTTTTGATAGCTTTTGAATCTCTATACCTTGTGGAAAGAAGTTTCAGTACAGTTGCCAATTTTCTTTAAAAAAGAAAAAGGTTTAGGAATCACTGACAGAGGAGATTTAAAGTTAAACTTGACTAATTTGAAGGCAAATATTAAAAATTTGCCATTAAAGTATCAGGTTCATCCTTCCCATCATTAAAAGAATTTTAGATTTGCATTTTGTGCCTCTATCAAAAAAATGTTTGAAGTTGAGAAATTTTTAAAAATTCTATATTAACCCCTTAACTGCCGCGGGCGTATATATACGTCCTTCCAAACTGCTATCATTTGCTTTGCGCTGCTACACCTAAAATTATTCGCAAAGTTAACGCATCGGCTGCGCATCTGGGGCAGTTAACGCATCGGCTGAGCAAGGCGTATATATACGCCCACAGCAGTTAAGGGGTTAAGTAAGCATTCCAGAACAACTAAGCCAGTGTAAAATTTCATGTGACAGCTGTTACTATCAGGTAAATTTTGCAGTGGTCATGCAACATTCCCATACATCTTGCTTTCACCTGAGTGCTTGGTGATACATCTTGGGTGAAACTTTACCCCTGGTTTCATTCCGTTTTGAAACACTCGATTATAAATATTATGGAGCTTGAATATTTTTGGAATAACCCTTAGGAAGGGATCTACAAAAAACAGAAAAAATCGGGTAAGTGGTCTATGGGACAAAGAAGGTTTGAGAACATCTGGTCTAAACGAATCTCTGCATATCATTTCCAACAAAGCATTACCACTATAAATTTTAACATGCTTCAGCTGCAGATTTTTTATTTTTTAAATAAAGTAGTACACTAAAATTTCCCATAATTTTTTTGGAGGGGGGCATGAAATTTCACATGTTTGACACTATGAAATGAAGCTGTTCACACTTCAGCAAAATGATATACACAGAATTTCAATCTTGCTTACTATACTTCCATATAAATGCGTCACCCTTTTAAAGTACATGAACATAAATAACTCTGGTAATGCAATCTGTGGGAAAATGGTGAGAACTTATTCACCTCCTCCAATACTTGTGAATTAACGTACAACATATTTATGCATCAATAAAATTTAATACAGAAAATTCTAACATTCATTTTATGAAAACTTAAAAATCTCCATTTTCTTATCCATAATAAAAAATCAGTACTTTTCCATTTTGCCAACGCAGGTGATAAAGTTGCCAATAATGGTACAACTGATGCCAAACGGAATATCCTCACTGGTAACCTTTTACGCATCATTTTCAAAACAAATCGCAGCCATTTCTTATCAGACTGATTGTTTCTTTCAAAACTGGCATAAAATTACATAGAATTTTTTATCGGATGGTTCAATTTTATGCACTAAGACCATTCGCTGCAATTAAGTCAATTGGGATGCAATCACACCGCTCACTCGAAGGCGAAAATATAGAAAAGGCGAAGTCAAGAGTTAAACTGATCAATTCTAATGAGAATACATTAGCGAAGTAAAGCACTACGGTTTTACATAATTTCTGAGTAGGCTATTCGTACGAACTAAATTCTTGCATTTTAAATGAAGATTTAACTTGAAATTAATGTAGATGATTACCAAGAGAATTAGATTTTTGTAGTTTACGCGAGATGAGATCACTCAGGGTCACGTCATATGAACCAGCGAATCAGTATGTTGAATCATGAAAGCATAGCAAATTCTTAAATTAATGTCTTTTTACAAATTTATGGTCTTTATTTATTGGCTTTTTACAAAATTTTAAACGATATTAAAATGTTTATGCATTCAAAATAAAAAATTCTTAGAACTAAAATTTTTTATGTGTATACTGCATGTTGTCGCCAATAAAGTCTGCTTGGCAAGATTTGCGCCGGCGAAACAGAAAAGTACCAAAAAATTAAATGGTTAATTAGATGAGAAAATCTGATCAAAATATTCTCATAAATTCTTGGCCGAAAAGTTTCTGCAACAAGCTTGGAATATATCATTATTATCACATGGCATGCAAAAATGCTTTTCTACTAAGGCAATGAAGAGTAATCACAATATAATGTATAATACAAATATCATTATAACATTATTTAGTGTACGTTAAAACTTATTTTAAACAATATTATGTTCAGAGAACTATTATAATAAAAAAATCACCTCTGCTCCAAACCAAAGTTGCCCAGCAAGATTTTCATGAAGAACATCATCAGGAAATTTTGCTCGAAAATCCCTATTTGCCCGCATATCTGGAATTGCATCATCCATGATATCATTACAAATACTAAGAACCTAAAGAAAGAATTAAAAATAAAAAATAAATTAAAATATTCTCTGGAATTAAATATTTCATTATCTGAAAGAAGTACTCAATATATAGCACTGAAAGGTAGGCACTATAATTCACATTTTACAGAATTTACAGAAATAAATTATTTTGAATGAATCCAATCCACTATTTTTTGCACACACTAATCATCTGATTTCAGTTGATAGTTCAAAGACTAGTTCATAAAACAATGCAAGTAGAAAACCAAGCAATGAAACAATGCTGCATTTTACAGCATTTGGATTTCTTAGCACGAATGAGAATTATACAGCAAGTACAACCACAAATAACGCAAATCTCAAATAATTAAGGGGATTTAATAAGGGATAACTGCACAATTTCAAAATCTAAAATTGCATACATTGTTATCGATTACATTCCTACAGCCTATGAAAAACCAAAATGAAAGAAAAAGTTGTTGCTGGTCAAAACCCTTAGGCACCAATGATGCAATATGAATTTTGCCATCAATTTAAACCATCCCAGTTTAAATTGAGAGTTCTCATACATCTCTCTCTTCTTCTGCTACCCAATTCTTTACAAGAAAACTATATTTGATCTTTATTGAATCTACATTTCTTTCAAGAGGAAAGATATAGACTAAATAAATGACAAACTATTCGCAATCGTGAAATGAAATAATATATAATTAAAGGGGAATATGCCTATTCAAATTGGTACTATTCCATTAGAGCGACATCAATTAAAAATGAAAAAAATTAGAAGAAAACCATGCTAAAAAAAATCTGCAGGCTTCAGATTTTAAATTACATCCAAACGGGCATTTTTTTAACGTTTTGTGTGTTACTTTTATTTATTAAATATCATATTCTTTACACTTAAACCATAAAATCCAGTTCAATAACAATGTTGCAAAATAATTTGCAAATAATAAATGAGCATATCTTTAGAATTTCCAATACACAGTTCAGAGCGCTGGTTATAAAAGGGTTTCACATACCTCAGCACATATTCAGTACACAAAGAAAGTAGCCACAAAGCGTCAGTGAAAGTGTCGCAGCAATTCAGAGGAAAAAGGGAGGGTGTTGAAAAGTTTCAGTTCAGATTTAAAAAATTTTGGTTTACAATTATTTAGTGCTCAGCAAGAGGTATCTGCATTAAGCGTTATGTAGGATCGCATGATTAATTTGAACGATGCACTTTAGACTTGTTAACATTATATTTAAGATAGAGAGAGGAAGTCCCCAAATTAAATGAAAAATAAAAGAGGTTATAGCCAATTAAAATTAGAAGTTTGCTTTCATATTTTTTATCTTATATATAATATATATATATATATATAAAGACACACAAATAAAAGAACTTTCCTCGGGAACTATGCAAATGCCAAAAAAAAAGGGGGGGAAGAAAAGAAAAGAAAAAGTTTAAAGACATGCAGATACATGTGTAGATAGAAGATGTAGCTGGAAAATGCTTACTGGAAATAATTTACAGTTGTCTAATGGATTAGTTATCATTCAAACCTGATTAGGAAGGACACTGATGGGGAAAATACCTTCTGAAAAAAACATTCTGAAATTCTTTCAGTATTTTCACTATTTTAGAAAGAGGCAAAAATGAGAGATTTGTGGAACACGGATAATACTCAGCATTAGTAGTCCAGCTAAAACAAAAAAACCACACTGGAATGGAAAGAAGCCACCCTTTCCATTTTAGTATAGATTTTTTGGTAAACACTGAAATGAAATAACTAAGCTTTCTCTAGCATGGTTATAATGAGCTGATCTGAAGTCAAGAGTGAATATTTTACAGGCAAATAAATGACTGCCTCACAGCCTATGAAAAATCAGTCAGATGAAAAAATTATAGAGTCATTGGGATAATTTTTTTTTTTTTTTTTTTTTTTTTTGGAAAGCAAGAGAGATGAAAAATAGCAACCGCCTTCGCCGGGAATTGAACCACGGACCTCTGGAATACCAGCCCAGCATGCTACCGTTACACCACGAAGGCACGCTAGGGAAGCGGAAGAAATACCTTATAAAATAATGCAGTTGATCTAGCTGATAAAGATGATGGAGTCTGTCACTATCTGCTGTAAGGTTTGTCTGCAGGGTTGCCACTCAAACAGGAGAATGAAATTCCCTGACTTTTCCAGGTTTCCCAGGTATGTTTCGAGAAAATTCCAGTCTATCCGCGTAATGTACGTTGGCTGTGCTAAGAGGTAAATTAATTATGGTTTACTTTAACTGTGTAGCAAATTCACTTAATTATTCAATAAATCCCAGAGGACATTTATTCTTAATTATTCTAGTACACTTTGTTTGATATTTTGTTACTTCGCTTACAAAACTTAATAAAATTTAAGATATATACATGGGATAACAACTGTACGTTTTATTTAATTATTACTCATGATCATCCCCAGTTCAACACAAGGCTAATCCGGTTCTTATAAATCACAACGCGATGCTAAAGTTAGGGTTTTGTAAATTTTAATTTGTGTGAGGTGTATTTTAAAAGGCCCCTAACCTTGGAAAACACAAATATAATTAAATAGGGAGTTGTTTTCTCCACTGAAGATTGATTAGGAATCTGCCCATCTGGAAAATAAGGCTTTTTTTTTGCAGACATTCTGCACTAAAGAACAAAGAGAAATCTATTAATGATATTTTTTTACTAAAGTGAGGTACTTTATATTTATTTCGCAGCATACATAAGGAAAAAAATATGTGCATTAAATTTCGTGCTGGTCATCATACTGCTAGAAAATTCCTGAATTTGGAAATATTATTTACTAATGATAAATATTTAGAGGGGAAGAAGCAACATTAAATGATATGAATAACATAAAAATAAAGCTAATTACTTAAAAATTTAATTAAAATAATCAACGATATGATTCAGAAGTCAAACAACAAAAATCAGCGTTAATTCAAAAATTTTCACAGGACTAGTTTCGATGGTTTTACCGAACCATCATCTTCAGCTGCAAAACCGCAAAAAATTTTGCGGACCGTGGGGGTTGTTTTGGTTTTTTTTTTTTTTGGTTTTGCAGCTGAAGATGATAGGTTCGGTAAAACCATCGAACTAGTCCTGTGCAATTTTGTGTAACGCTGATTTTTGTTGTTTGACTCTGAATCAGTATTATTCGTCTTAAGATCAACGATATTAGCGAATATAGGTATAATTACATGGGAGCACTAGTGATGATTACTATTTTTTTATTTACTGCAAATACAAGGGATTTATTAAAAGAAAGAAAAAAAAAAAAAAAAAAAAAAAGATTTTGCGGTAAATCCTAGTATACGATACGGCCTTCGCAGGATTGAAAATGTTGCCAGAACAAAATGACCCTTTTTACTGCCATCATCATGTCGCCAATTCCCGCTGTACCATACATGGAGATTATTCTGACCAAAGAACGTCTGTAAAAAAGCGGAGGGAAAATTTGCCAAGGGATTTGACAAAAACGGCCAGAATTTTCTCTCCGCGATGTGTACGGAAATTGAGAAACACGTGTTAAGAAAAACGTTCTTTGACAAAAAAGAAACTACGAAATCCTTTTAAATTATTGCGAAAAATCAAGAAAAACGTTTTCGCGATGTGTACAGGAAATGAGAAACCGTGTTAAGAAAAATTTCTTTGACAAAAAAGAAAACTACGAAATCCGTTTAAAAATTTTGCGAAAATCCAAGAAAACGTTTTATATCAAAGAACTTTTTTCTGGATTTTTCCGCAATAATTTAAAAACGATTTTCGTAGATTCCCCCCGCTCAAAATAACTAATCCATGAATTAATTATTGCGCCCAAAAATACTTTCTTTTCCTTTAAAGACATTTTAACATTTCATTTTATGAACTCTTGATAAACGTGACCTTCGAACTTCGACACCGGTTTCGTGCTTTGGCGACATATATATCGCGCAGCACAGCTGTTTCCCGCTATGATGGACCGAGCCATGGCGAGGTTTCCTTTCTTTAAAATACCTATTTTTTAATTCTAACCCGTTCCGTACCGTATACTAGATTAAACCCATTTTGTTTTATACGAGACAGGTACTTTCTTTAGTTCATGCACTGCACATGCGATTCGCGAGTTACTGGAAACCAAATTCGCGGGAAACTTGCTTGCCTTTCTAAAAAGACAAATTGGAGCTGCGAAAATTGGCCTATGCCAGCTGCCCGAATGACACTCACGTGATACACAATTCGCCAAAAAAGTGATCTCTTCCGACGTCGGCGCAAAACTCACCTTTTTTGCCGGGATCGTTGTATGAAATTCCCTGACTTTTCCAGATTTTGACTAAAACACTTAAATTCCCTGATTTTTCCCTTTTTTTTTTTTTTTTTTTTTTTTTTTTGTCAATTTCCAAATTCCCTGACTTTTCCCGGTTTTCCAGGTAGCGTGGCAACCCTGTGTCTGGTATTTGAAGCATTACTAAAAGCAAAAAATGATGTTCCTTGAATGAGTGTTTGAGAAAAGGCCTACCATTTGATAGAACTAATACCTAATATTCTGAATAGTTTCAAGTTAATGAAATATGAAGTAACAGCAGATATCAGAAAAGCATTTTTACAGCTAAGTATAAAAATCTGATGTGTACACCGCATGACTTCCTTGTATGGAATATCAAATTATACACATTTTTTCTTGCATTTCGTTTAAACTTATTGGATTGAATTTAATCTACTTCGCCAACAATGCATAAACCACAATAGAATAAATGCATTCTTTAAATTCACTCTATTTGTTTACCATAGCGACACTCTGGCGCTAGGTTCACTTAACAGTATTATATTTCATTCATATTATAACTCAGAATGCACAAAATTTATATCAGTTAAAGAATTATCTAATCGTTGCCACATGTTCTATTCAAATACTATAATAAAGCTAAACTGATGTATAAAAGAAATTAAGCAAACAAAATTAAAAGGAAACAGTTTTCACAGACGATTGAGTATTTCTCATTCAATTAATTCAGTTCTCACTTCGCGACAA